CCATAGGGGGTGCGCAAGGGGTGGTCTCTCACCGCGGCCGCTATCCGTGACGTCGTCCAGGGCACAGCAGGCATGGCATATTCTCGACACCATAAGGGGGTGCGCAGGGGTGTTCTCTCAGGGCCGCTATCCGTGGACGGTCGTCCAGGGCACAGCAGCATGCATATCTCGAACATATGGGGTGCGCAATCCGTGACGGTCGTCCAGGGCATATCACACGCGCAGGGGGTGGTCTCTCACCGCGGCCGCTATCCGTGACGGTCGTCCAGGGCACAGCAGGCATGGCATATTCTCGACACCATAGGGGGTGCGCAGGGGGTGGTCTCTCACCGCGGCCGCTATCCGTGACGGTCGTCCAGGGCACAGCAGGCATGGCATATTCTCGACACCATAGGGGGTGCGCAGGGGGTGGTCTCTCACCGCGGCCGCTATCCGTGACAGTCGTCCAGGGCACAGCAGGCATGGCATATTCTCGACACCATAAGGGGGTGCGCAGGGGGTGGTCTCTCACCGCGGCCGCTATCCATGACGGTCGTCCAGGGCACAGCGGTATCGGCGGGGCAACGGCCACCAACATTATTCTCACATGCTTCACTTCAGCTCTCATCTCTCCAGCCATCATATATGTATGTGGGGTTCCTCGGTAGCGTAATTGTGGGTTTTCGATTCGACTCTGGGCTCTCCTGGGCTGGAGGGCGTATGCACCGATCGTGGGCTCGGGATGGGCCTGACCAGGATCGGCGTGTGTGCACAGTTCTCTCGGCCCTGTGCAATCGCACGGGGTAAGCTAATTGTCCGGAAGGCCGGGGGGATCCGGAGAGAGGCCCCGGGAAGGCCGCGGACTCTTGGAGGCCTGTTTGGGGTTTCCTGGGAGGCCTCTCGGGGGCCCCTCGGAAGCATGTCTAGAGCCTCTTGTGGCCTCCCGGGGGCGTGCTGACGGTCCTGGAGGGCATAACTCTGGTGGCCCTGGGCCCAGTTCGCCACCGTGCCTCAGCTGTGCGTCAGGTGCCTCTTGGGCGCACCTCTTGGACGCCTCGCGGGGGCACACTGGAGGCATTTTTGAAGCCTCTCCGGGCCTCTTGGGGACCTCTCGGGGCCTCTCTTGGGCCCCTGAGGGGTGTTTTGGGGCCCCTCCGTCCAGAGCAGCCGGTCCGAGGAGGAGGAGGAGGAGGAGGAGGAGGAGGAGGAGGAGGAGGAGGAGGAGGAGGAGGAGGAGGAGGAGGAGGAGGTGTAGGAGGAGGTGTAGGAGGAGGAGGGCCCTCCAGGGGCGGTCTCGGGGGCCCTCCAGGGGCGGAGGGCTCGACGTGCCAGTTCTTGAATCCCCTTCTCGGAGCCCCTCTCGGAGACGTCTCGGTTGGGCCGCCTTGGGGGGGCCTCCTTGGGGCCGTCTTGGGGCGCTCTTGGGCCCTTCTGGGAGTCTCTTGGGGGATCTACTTTGGGGTCCAGGCCCTTTGCAGACCCTTGAGGAGCGAGGATTCAGGCGTAGAGGATTCGGCAAAGGACCTGAGGACCTGCCCACTCCGTGCCCAGCGGCACGGTGGCGGATTTACGCGGTTCCGTGCCCCTTTTGCCCTTCCAGGGAGGCCCCGCCAGAGCGAGGAGGGTCTCTGAACAGGGTACTACTTACACGGTTTCGCCCTTCCTGCCCCTCCAGGGAGGCCCCGCCAGAGCGAGGATGGGATCGGAGCCCCATACTATTCACACGGTTTCGCTCTTCCTGTCCTTTCCAGGGAGGCCCTGCCAGAGCGAGGAGGGTCTCGGAACACCACACTATTTACACAGCTTCGTGCCGCTCCCACCCCTCCAGGGAGGCCCCATCAGAGCGAGGAGGGGATCGGAGCACCATACTATTTACACGGTTTTACTCTTTCTGTCTTTCCAGGGAGGCCCCGCCAGAGCGAGGAGGGCATCGGAACACCATACTATTGCGAAGGCCTTACGGCCGGTGCCGCCGACCCTGAAGGGGAACGATGACGGCGGCGGCGGTAGCGACGACGACGATGCTGACGTGGGTTGAGTCCTCAAACGTGCTTCTTGGGGTTTCTTCCGAGCGCTCTCGGGGGCCTCTGGGGGGATGTTTCGGGGCCTCTTGGGAGCCTCTTGGGGCCTCTTTGGGCTTCCTGGGGGCCTCTTGGGGGCTTCTCGGGGCTGAGGGCTCGAAATGTCCGTTCGGGTCCCCCGTCTGGGCACTCTCTTGGAACCGTCTTGGGGGCCTCTTGTGCCGTCTTGGAGGCGTCTTGGGCCGTCCTGGGGCACTCTTGGGCCGTTTGGGGACTCTTGGAGGCCTCTTGGGCCGTCTCGGGGCGACCTTGGGGGCCTCTTGGGCCGTCTTGGCGCGTGGGGAAGCGGAAAAGGCGAGAACGCCAAAATTTTTGAAAAACGTATGGGAAATCCATGATTTTTGCCTCTTGGGGCTCTCGTGGGAACGGTCCTGGAGGCCTTTTGGGGCGTCTCGCAGGCCTCTTGGGCCGTCTGGAGGCCGTCAAGGCGTCTTGGACAGATCATTCGGCGATTCGGGGCCCTCTTGGATCGTCTTGGGGGCCTCTTGGGGCACTCTTGGCCCGTCTTGGGGCATTTTTGGGCTCCGGGATTCCCTGGGGGGGCGGGGTAAAAACCCGGGACCCCCCCCGGGACCCACCCCGGGACCACCCCCCCCCACCCCGGGCGGGGAAGGGATCAAAGGGAAGGGGCTTCCTTTCGACTCGATTACGACGTTGCTCAATTTCGCTTTGGACTGGCACGCTTCAGGAGGAGGCCCTGGGAGAGGGGTAGAAGCAACGACGCTGTGGGGAAAGGGGAAGGAACGACGACGACGACGACGAGGGGGGAACAGACGGAGAAGCCTCTTCCACACGCCGACAGGGTCGGCGGATTTGAACGGTGTCGTGCCTCTCCCGCTCCTCCAGGGAGGCCCCGCCAGAGCGAGGAGGGTACCGGACCTTCATGCTGTTTACACGGTGTCGTGCCTCTCCCGCTCTTCCAGTGAGGCCCCTGACACAGCCCACTGAGGCCCCGAGCGTGCCCACAGAGGCCCCACCACGCTGCCCACTGAGGCCCCACTGTGACATCCTTATGTGGGGCACTCCAGTAGCATTGTTCGGGCAAGCAGGGCCTCGCGAAGGCTCTCCGCAAGACGTGCTGGATAGCTCATTCTTGGGCTGTCCGTGACTCCTCAGCAGCAAGACCTCACTAAGGAGAAAGCAGTGGGCCAAGCAATGCAAATGCTTCCCTGACCCAGTGGGTCCACTTAGGCACGCATGCAGTAGCTTTTCGACTGCTCGCTGGAGAAAGCTCGGCAGTCCCCTGGGCCCCCTCGGGTCCACAAGGCGACCCGCGGGCCTCTGTAACCTTTCAGCTGCAGATGCGGCCAAAAAGTAGCTTCCTTCGCGTGTCGCTCCGTACCTTCAGAACTTGTACCGAACACACTGTGCCGGTTTCCGTCGAGAACCCACGTTCCTCCTGGCCGTGGAGGCAGGCGGCCATGGCTGCCCTTCTGAAGCAAGCGCAATCTGCAAATGCGGTGTACAGTGGAGGTCCATGCCAAGAGACATCCTGCTTGCCTCCAGTGTGCCCTGGGTTTTTTGGGTTTCCATGTTTTTGCAATGGAAGGCGTGACGTTCCCACACCAAACTTCAATGGAGGTCCTGGGGTCTCAGGGTTGGGTCTCTTTCGGAAGGTTGCTTGTGTACTGTCGTTTCGGCACGCCCTGGCGCAGGCCAGCTTCGATCGCTTGCTGGCAGCCCAGCTCCGTATGTTCCTTAGCTCCTTTGCAAGCCCAGCGCTATGGCCCTCGCTGCAAGTATTATACTAGTATAAAGCATACAGTTTTTAGGAAGGCCAGGCTTCGGTGGGCCTACTTTGGACCCTCCTCCTCCTCCTCCTCCTCCTCCTCCTCCCTCCTCCCTCCTCCCTCCTCCCTCCTCCCTCCTCCCTCCTCCCTCCTCCCTCCTTCCCTCCTCCCTCCCTGCCTCCTGCTCCTCCCTCCTCCCTCCTCCCTCCTCCCTCCTCCCTCCTCCCTCCTCCCTCCTCCCTCCTCCCTCCTTTGGACCCTGGTTGCTGGGTTTTTCCCTTCAGGTCTCGTCTCTCGGTGGGCCTCTTGCGTCGACGATCGCAGGAGGCACCCTCTGACAATTCGGAAGGTGGGCCGCCCCAACCGCCAGGCCGCAAATACTGGCGGCTGGTGGTAGTGGGCCAGCTGGCCTGATGTTCTCTCGCGCTGTGCCACGCCTCTCAGAGCTCGGCTGCAAGCACAGCGGAATTACCCTGGCCGGAGGATGAATGGTGCACGCAGCAGTAACATGGCCTGCTTCCCAATAGCACGCTTGCTTCCCAATAACACTCAAGTCCTCGATCGCTGCTCCAGCGTGCCTATTCTGGCGGGCTTTTTCTGTGCGGCGTTGTGCCTGTAATTCGTTTGGGCTCCCGAGGTGGCACCAGGCATGCTTGTAGCCTGCCAGTTGCGAGTGCGAGGCTGTAGTGCGGGTCGCCGGCTTCCGTCCCCAACCGCTCCACTTCGCGTCCTGTCATTCCCAGTCAGCGAAATTTGTTGTTGGCTTGGCGAGCAATTCGCTCGCATAGCTGTTGCCAGTGGGCCAGCTGGCCTGATATTCTCTCGCGCTGTGCCGCGCCTCTCAGAGCTCGGCTGCAAGCGCAACGATAATCTCCAGGCTGGAGAAAAAATAGTGCATTCTCCTCCTCCTCCTCACCGTTCCCATTTCCATTCTCCTCGTTCCCCTTCCTCCTCTTGCAGCTCCAGACGCTCCTCCTCTTCCTCCTCCTCCTCCTCCTCCTCCTCCTCAATACTCCTCCTCCTCCTCCTCCTCCTCCTCCTCCTCCTCCTCCTCCTCCTCCTCCTCCTCCTCCTCCTCCTCCTCCCCCTCCTCGTCCTCCTCCTCCTCTTCCTCCTCCTCCTCCTCCTCCTCCTCCTCCTCCTTCCCTCCCGACGCCTTCCTCCTGCGCCTCCCGGCGCCTCCCCATCGCCCCCCCCGCACCGTCCGCAGGACTGGCTCCGGGGCCTCCGGTGCCTCGCCAGCGCGAGGTGATGGCCCCGCCCGGGGGGCCGCGACCCGTGTCTGGGTGCGGGCCCCAGCGTGCCTCCTCTCCTGCGGATGAGGAGGAAGAGCAGGAGGAGGATGAGGAGGAGGAGGAGGAGGAGGAGGAGGGGAAGGGGGAGGAGGAGGATGAGGAGGAGGAGGAGGAGGAGGAGGAGGAGGAGGGAGGAGGAGGAGGAGGAGGAGGAATAATAATAGTAAGAATAATAATAAGTAGAGTAATAATACTAAGCAGTCTATTACAAATAAAAATAAGTAGAATAACAATAATACGAATAATGATAAGGATCATCATAACAATACTAATAATAATACTTAAGAATATTATTAATGAGAAGAATAATTATAATAAACATAATACTAATAAGAACAATCATAAGCATACAACGGAGAACAATAGCAAGAAGAAGAGCACGAATAGTAAGAATAAGCATAATAATAATCAGAAGACAAATAATCACACCAATAATAATAATAATCATACGAATAATACTAAGAATAATAATAATAGTACTAATCATATTAATAAGAATAATAAGACAAATGAGAAGAAGAAAAAGAGGAGGAGGAGGAGGAGGGGGATGGAGGAAAAGGGAGGAGGAGGGACGCGGAGGCGGAGGTGGAGGCGGAGGCGAAGGAGGAGAAGGGGGCCCCTGCTCGTCCTTCTCCTCCTTCTCCTTCTCCTGCTCCTGCTCCTCGTTGTCCTCCCCTTTCCCGTCCGCCTTTTTCACCTTTGCCTCCGTCTTCGCCTCGTCCGTCTCCTTTTCCTCCTGCTTCTTCCCTTCCCCCCTCCTCCTCCTCGTCCTCCTCCTCCTCCTCCTCTTTCTCCTTCTCCTCCTCCTCCTCCTCCTCCTCCTTTCCTCCTCCTCCAGACATCGTCTGATTGGGAAAGTCCTGTGGAAAGTCCTTTACTCCTCCTCCTTCTCTTCCTTTCCTTCTGTCGCCTTCCCTCTTCCGCCTCCCTCTTTCTCCTCCTCCCTATCCTCCTCATCTCGCCCCTCCGTCATTCCCCTCCCTTCCTCGTCGTCCTCCTCGTCGCCCTCCTCCTTGCGTCGCGTCCGCGCGGGCTGGCTTTGCGGCTGGCCGCTGTGCCTCTTGTACAGGAGATGTGCGGCGGGCGGTGCCCTGGCCCGGCGGCGCGGGCGGTCGGAAAATGCCGCCCCGCTTTCCCCAAGATGATGCTGGTGATGTTGGTGGTGATGATGACGATTTTATTGGTGGTGGCGGTGATGACGACGACGACGGCGACGAGGACAACGAGGACGACGAGGACGACGAAGTCGACGACGACGACGGTGTTGATGCTGATGGCGATGATGGTGCTGATGATGATGCTGATGATGATGGTGGTTGTGGTGGTGGTGATGTGTTGGCGATGATCGTGCTGGTGATGATGCTGGCGCTGGCGCTGGCGCCGGCGCCGGCGCTGGCGATGATGATGATGATGATGATGATGATGATGATGATGATGATGATGATGATGATGATGAGGTTGCTGTTGTTGATTTTAGCGGTGGTGGCGGTAATGATGATGACGACGACGGCGACAAGGACAACGAAGACGACGCGGATGACGAAGACAACGACGATGTAGATGATGCCGGTGATGATGATGCTGAAAATGATAATGGTGATGCTGCTGATTTTTTTGTGGTGGTGGCAGAGATGATGATGATGATGATGATGATGATGATGATGATGATGATGCTGATGATGATGATGATGCTGATGATGATGATGATGATGATGATTCCGACGGCGACGAGGACAACGAGGACGACGACGACGAGACGACGACGATGTTGATGCTGATGATATGGTGATGATGATCATGACGATGGTGGTGGTGGTGGTGATGCTACTGATGATGGTGACGGTGGTTGTGATGGTGCTGGCGCTGGCGATGATGATGCTCGTAATGATGATGATGATGCTGATGATGATGATGATGATGATGATGATGATGATGATAATGATGATGATGGGGTGATGATGGTGACAATGGTGATCATGATGGCGATGACGACGATTACGATGGCGATGTCGATATCGATGTTGATCATGATGGTGATGATGATGCTGCTGATGATGGTGATGCTGATGATGGTAACGATGATGATGATGTCGATGATGATGCTGATGATGAGGATGACAGCGATGTCGAGAATGCTACTGTTGCGGCTGATGATGAGGACCTTGGGGATATTGACGACGATGATGATGCTGATGATGTTGATGCTGATGCTGCTGCTGATGCTGATGCTGATGCTGATGCTGATGATGATGATGATGATGATGATGTTGGCGATGATGGAGGTGATGGTAAGGATGGTGGTGCTGATTGTGACGAGGGTGATGATGATGTGACTGCTGCTTCTGTTGATGCTGCTGCTGATGATGGTGATGATACTTATGTTGATGATGATGGTGATGGTGACGATGAAGATGAAGATGATGATGATGATGATGATGATGATGATGATGCTGATGATGATGATGATGATGATGATGATGATGATGATGCTGAGGATGATGATGGTGATGCTGCTGATGATGATGATGATGGTATCGAGGATGACGATGCTTACGGTGCTGCCACTGCCACTACCACTGCCACTACCACTCCAATCATTGCAACGTTTGCCACTACAGTGCCACTAGCACTGCTGCTACTAATGTGACCACCACCACTCACATTACAACGACGACGACGACGACGACTACTACTACTATTATTAAGACTCTTACTACTGTTCCTACTCGTATTGTTACTGCTACTATTGCTTCTACAGCTACTAGAACTATTACTACCTCTACTACTACTACTACTACTACTACTACTACTACTACTTTTATTGCTACTAATACCACTACTACTAAACCAACAACTATCATTACGACTACGACTGCCACCACCACCATTTTCACTACCGCTACTACGACTGCTACCTCCACAAGTACTGGTACTAGTACTACTACGAGCACTGCTACGGCTACAAGTACAACTACTACGGCTACGACTACCACTAATTCTACGGCAAGTACAATTACTACTACTACTGCGACTGCGATTACAACTACAGCTACTATTACTACTTCTAGTGCGAGTTCTACTGCTACTACTACTACTACTGCTACGACTACTACTACTACTACTACTATGTCTACTACTACTACTACTACTACTACTACTACTACGATTACTAAGAGTGCTACTACTATTGTATTACTGCCCCTTACTACTTACTACGTAGTACTTGCTACTTACTACTCATTACCACTACCGCTAGTATTATTCAAAACATACAACCTAAAACTCCCATCTCAGTACTTACTACTTACTACTTGCTACTAGTACTACCATTACATTTACACTATTATTCTTCTTTCTAGTCGTAGTGCTTAATTACTGCTTATTTCCACTGCTTCTAGTAGTGCCACTGCTTCTACTGCTACTCCTACGACTGCGACTAGTACTACTACTACTACTGCTATTATTACTACTACTACTAATTTTACCACTGCTACTACTACTACTACTACCACTCCGACTACTACTACTACTACTACTACTACTATTACGACTACTTTCACTACTACTACTTCTACTACTATTACCACTGCTACTACTACTACTCCTACTACTACTGCTACTACTACTACTACTACTACTACTATCACTATTACTACTACTACTACTACTATTACTACTACTTCCACTACTACTACTACTACTACTACTACTACTACTACTACTACTACTACTACTACTACGACTCCTTCTACTACTACCACTACTATGGCGACGACGACGGCGGCGACGGCGACGACGACGACTACTACTACTACTACTACTACCACCTCTACTACTACTACTACTACTGTTGAAACTATTCCATTTACTACTACTACTACTATTACTACTACGACTACTACTACTACTACTACCTACCTACCTACCTACCTACCTACCTACCTACCTACCTACCTACCTACCTACCGACCGACCGACCGACCGACCGACCGACCTACCTACCTACCTACCTACCTACCTACCTACCTACCTACTACTACTACTACTACTACTACTACTACTACTACTACTACTACTACTACTACTACTGCGACTACAGCGGCAACTTTCCAGGCTTCGTGTCCATGCCACTCCTCCAGGGAGGCCCCGCCAGAGCGAGGAGGGTATCCTCACACCATAGTCTTTACACAGTTTCGTGTCCCTCCCACCCTTCCGGGGAGGCCCCGCCAGAGCGAGGATGGGATCGGAGCACCATACTATTTACACGGCTTCGCTCTTCCTGCCCTTTCCAGGGAGGCCCTGCCAGAGCGAGGAGGGTCTCGGAGCACCACACTATTTACACGGCTTCGTGCCGCTTCCACCTCTCCAGGGAGGCTCCGCCAGAGCGTGAATGATATCGGAACACCATACTATTTAGACGGTTTCGTTCCCCTGCCACCCCTCCAGGGAGGCCCCGCCAGAGCGAGGAGGGTATTGGAACACCATGCTGCTCCTTCCACCCTTCCAGGGAGGCCCCACCAGAGCGAGGAGGGTCTCGGAACACTTTATTGTTTACACGGTCCCGTGCCCCTCCATCTTTTCCAGGGAGGCCCCGCCAGAGCGAGCAGGGTATCGGAACGCCATACTATTTGAACGGTGTCGTGCCCCTCCCACCCCTCCATGGAGGCCCCGCCAGAGCGAGGAGGGTTTCGGAACACAATGCTGTTTATACGGTTCCGTGCCCCTCCATCCCCTCCAGGGAGGCCCCGCCACAGCGAGGAGGGTACCGGAATGCCATACTGTTTGAACGGTGTCGTGCGCCTCCCGCTCCTCCAAGGAGGCCCCGCCAGAGCGAGGAGGACATCGGAACGCTATGCTCTGTAGACTTTTTCGTGTTTCGTGCCTAACCTGTTCGTCCAGAGAGGCACCGCCAGAGCGCCATTGAGGCCCTTGACACAGGGAGGCCCCGAGCGCACCC